CCCCAGGTCAAGGTGGAGGTGTACGATGACGTGGATGAGCTCATCGACGAGGAGTTCAAGTCGGAGGCCGTCACGGGCGCTGGCGAGCAGGCCGTGCTGAACGAGCAGGGCAAGCCCACGCCGCTGCCCCCTAAGGCCCACTGAGCGGCCCTCCAGCAGGCTCGCATGCCCGATTGTGCTTCTGGGCTGCTGCATTTGCATGTGCGCGGCTGTGCCCACAGCAGTGGCTGCCCCGCACCACTTCCAGCATCATTCGGTGCTCGCCCCAATGCGTGTGCACTGGCCCGCAGAGGCGTCACACCACCTGAACAACGTTGATCCTTCCTATGGTTCCCAGCTTGCATACTTCTCTTGGCCACCTGTACCCTAGCTTGCGGGCATCGTGCTCAGCTGCAGAGCAACAACCTGGCACAGTCCACGTGTCTGCTGCTACAGCTGTTCCAGGCTCTGTCCTTGGCTTAACCTCTCTCTCATCCTCTCAGCCATGCCTGCACTGCGCCAGCTGCCTCTTACGTGCACGCCATGTAACACAGCATGTGAGCAAAACCCACCTTTGTTTTTACAAACGTTGACGTGGAGGGCCCTGGAGAGCCCTCCCAGACACCGACCATGCTTTTTGAAAAAAAGTTTGAGGGCAGCCACCAAAGCTCGTTGACCACCCTCACATGCCGAAAACCAGCATGCCATGCGCCGGCATTCAAGCAAAAGGTGCTGCAGAGTTTGATCTCCTATGGGCACAACCGAGGGTCACGTTTGGCAAATGTGACTCCAGTGGCGTGCCTCCCAAAGTTGGTGCAAAGCGACTGAATTTCTCAGGGGTTCAAGAGGACGGCCCACTAAAACGGCCTGTTGCATTGCTTCGAGGCGCGAGGGGACTGCACCGCACAGCACAGCAGCGGCATGCTGCAGCTGTGTTGGGTGCCTACCTGTCCGCGCCCATCAGGCGCGCCTGGTGCTCCCCCAGCTGCTTCTGGCCCGCCATGAGCTGACGCTGAGCATCTGCCAGGTCACGCTGCACCTCGGCCAGCTGCTCCAGCGCCGCAGCCAGGCGGTCACGCTCCGCCTCCAGCGCAGAGCCATCGCCGCTGGCGTCATCGCCGCCCTCCTGGTGTGAGAGCAAGGCGCACAATCAGGGTTTGCTGGCTCTTTGCACTACGTAGTGGCCAACGATAGGTAGCAGATTGAGATAGACACACACTACACATGGACACCAGCCTTGCACATCACGCCTCAGATATCACATTGTATGCCTAGCAGAGAGCACCCACCTGGCCGCCCTCGCTGTCGGCGTCGCGGCGAACGCCGTAGCGCCGCAGCACAAACTTCGTCACCGCCGCCACCTCGTCCTGCGTCGCCGCCGCCGTGCCCTCAGCTGCCTTGGGCGCCCCAGGCGCGTCGACAGCGTCGAAGGGTGCCAGCGCCTCTGTCAACACCGCACGCAGCGCTGCTTCGTCCAGCTCCTGGCCCAGCACACGCAGCGTGCGGCCCGCACCAGATGCCTCCTGCCCTCTGCCCTCAGCCTCCTTCCCTGCCCCGACCGCCTTGGCGCCCTCCTTGCCCTCGCCCTCGCCTTCATCCTCGTCAGCGGCGCTGTCCTCGTCGGCGCCATCAGCGGCTGGTCCCGCCTCCTCAGCACCTGCCCAGGTGCTGAGCAGGGCGTCGAGCTTGCGGCGGCCAGCGCGGGCAGGGCCACCTGGCAGCAGGGAGGCCAGGGATCGCCACTGATCGGCCACCAGGCGTCCCAGCTCGGTGTGGATGCCCGTGGACTCGGAGGTGCGCTCCTTGACCTGGGTAGGCGGACAAAGGAGTGGTGGGGTGCACATGGGCTTTGCTGGATGGGTTCTGCACCTGGGCCCATGATGCTTCGCGAACCAATTCACAGAATGTTTTGCAGGGGTCTGTGCCCGCCAACCATCGACACTGCTCCTCTTCAGCCTGTCACCACCCACCCAGCGCAGACTTGCTCAAAGACAACCCCAACTCAATCCAACATGAGCATCCTCACCTCGCTGAATGCATCCACGATGATGGCCAGTAGGAAATTGAGCAGCACCAGGAACACCAGCAGCATGTAGGTCCAGAAGAACAGCGCACCAGCAACACCCTGGGGGGCAGAGAGAGAGAGAGAGAGAGTGACGGACCCGGCACACCATGGCTGAGCTGGATGGTGGAGGTCAATAAGGAGGTGCAACCATCTGTGAAGCGGCAGCCTGAAGCCCTGGCACCTGTGTAGCTTCTCAATCCCCTCTGCACGTTGCAACAAGCACGCCCATATTCCCACCCCGTATGCCCACCTGCACGCCGCTGAGCTGACCCAGCTGGCCGAGGACATCGGAGAAGTCCCCCAGCATCATCTGGAAGCAGCTGTTCACAGCCGTGCCCAGCCCAGCAAACTGGGGCACGCTGTTGCCAAAGATGAGGAAGGCCATCATGCTGTAGCCCATGAACACTGCGCCCGCCACCAGGAAGAAGTGCAACAGGTCGGGCAGGGCCAGGCGCAGCGAGCGAGTGATGACACCAAGACGTGGCTGGAAGTCCATGCGGCGCAGGAGCCTGCGTGGGGGCCCAGCGCGTGGGGGCCAAAGGGCATTGCAGATACTTAAATTCAAAGCAGAATTTTGCAGGCGACACAGGTTTGGGAAGGCATGACAGCTGGCATGCCGGCACCCGCACAGTGTCAAGTATGGCTGTTCAAACAAACACGTGGCAAATCCCAAGCAAACACTTCCTCTGTGCGCCTTGGTCACTGCCTCACACCCACCGCACCTATTCCTTGCCCCCATCTTCACCCTGCACCCCACAAACCCCGATGCCCAGCTGCCCCAACCTACAACCACACAATTGCAAGCCCCTTCGTACCGTGCCAGCAGCAGCAGGATGTTAATCCCGCTGAGTGCGTAGTACCACGACACCAGCTGCACAGCATCCTCAAGTTTTGTGATCGCAGCCCACGCTGCCGACAGGCCCTCTCCTGCCCCCGCCAGGTCAAGGAAGTTGGCCTCAGGCTGCAGGTCAGAGTAGACCTTTGGGGGGGGGGAGGGCTGACTGCGTCACACAGGGCTCGAGGCCAGTGGGCAGGGACCAGAGCCTGCGTCTTGATGGCACACAAGAGTATCTCCGAGATCGGCTTCCTGCCGCTTGGCTGACTCAAGCGTGCACGAGTCAAGCCAGGGGGGCATGCAGCACCAGCTCGTGCCCCACAAACCCCTGCTCTCACATCGTATCGCAGGTTCATGGACCAGGCTCGCGCGTGGCGTGCAGCAAAATTCCACCATATTGTGCAACAGATGACAAGAAGCAGGTTGCTGATTGTGTCCATCCAGTGGGCAGGGCTGCTGAAATATCTGGAGAGGTGGAGACACAGGTCCAGGCGTGGGGATCAAAGCGCAAGAAGTACGCAGGCATGGGGGTCTTACATAAGCAAAGACGGGCAGAAGACGATCCACTGCGGCCATCAGTGTGATGATTGCATTTGACGGTGCTGCAGGCTGTCCCTCAGCAGCATCACTACCAACCCGCAATAACCCCTACCTGCTGTGCAACCCCCATATCATGATAGGTGTGCCTGAAACGCTCACTTGCGCAGCCCCTTGGGCCTGGTGGCGGCGGCCACGATGTCCCACAGCTGTCCCACCACCATGAGGCCCACACAGACGGACAGCAGCACCTCCGCGGCATAGCGCACCGTGTCGGACACAGCTGCCGGGTCATACAACTCCATGCGCAGCGCATCAATGGCAGTTGTAGCCTGCATGCAAGCGGTTCGTGGGAAAAACACGGCAAGCCTCAGGCGAATCTGCGCTACATATATCCGCCAGGTGTGCAGGCAACACTGCCTGATGGGTGTGATCCTTCCTTGTTGCACGCTTTCGCAATGTTGGTTGAGGCCTGATCTGCCTGTGATTTCCCCTGCAACATAACCTTTTGCCTCACCTGGATGGAGCCACCGGCTCCAAAGTCAAAGTCCACGCGTACAGATGCAAACACCCCCAGGTCGGCATTGTATGTGACCATGCGCGCCGTCAGCCCCCGCGTCGCGTCATCCAGAAGCAGTGCATCGCGTAGCCAGGCCAGCCAGGTGGCTGCGCCTGCTTGTGAGAGGTTGATGTCCAGCCACACTGGGAAGCCCGGGGGGGCACCCGACAGTGGGAAGTGGTGGAAGCCATAGGGCACATTCCTGAGAGGAGAAAGGGAGCGGGAGAATCGACACTGCTGATCAGAAAGGCTTTGTTCCGCAAGTGCTTGGCACTCTCTCTGCCTGAAACAATCTGCAAAACCTTGAATCAAAGCCGTGCTCAACGATCTGCATTGTTCAGCCCAATCTATCTCCCATTTAAACCTGGGGTTGAATAGCTGCGCGCAGTAGGGCTTTGGGTTCACTGTGAGTCCAGTTGCTGGCTCCAAGACATTGTATGTGGGGCGCCCTGACACCAGCTTGTCGCAGTCGTACACTGCCAGCATGGGCCCGTCATCAGCCGCAACCAGGTCGGCTTGGAAGGAGGCTGTCTCGGGCTTGAAGGCGGGGTCCACACCATAGGAGGACACGTCCACGTCACCAGAGCAAGTCGACTGCGGGAAGTGGATGGCCAGGCCACTTCAACAACTCGAAACTCCCTCAGAAAACCCCAAGAAGGGGTCGTTCAAGGTGTCGTATTGAGCAGCAGATTTGGCCAAAAATGCATCCTCAACAAAACGACCTTGGCAAAAACATGTGCCATATTGTGCGCAGGCTCCCATCCAACCTGGATTGCGCTGAAGCGTGTCATCGGGCAGACCTCTTCCTGCTTGCGCCATGTGTGCAGCAGGATGCCGCCTATGATTCGGTTGTTGAGCCCGACGCTGCGGTCACGCGGCGTGCCCTCGACAGCGCTGTTGCCGTTGTCTACGGTGAAAAGGTGGTCTGTCACCGAGGTTGGCGTGCAGGGGGTGTTGGCCAGACGGTATATCTTGGCCTCTGCAGCGCGGTTGCGGCGTGCCACTTTCCAGTAAGACAGAGCCTGCGTGACAGAGGGGCACCACGGGTTGATTGATTGCAGGTGATATGCATCTCACAAATGGCTTGAATCATCCGCTCATGTGGTTGTTGATTCAACGCGCAAAAGGCGACCTGTGCCCCCTACATACCCCAAGGGTCGCCCACCGTGGCCAAGCTGATGAGGCCCTGCTGTGTGGCCACTGAGATAGTCTTGACTTGCTCCTTCACAGCAGCATCCAGCCCGCTCAGCGCCGCCACCTGGCGTTCAGCCATGCCCTGGATGGCCGCCAGAGTGGCGCTGGCCGTCAAGGCGGCGTCCAGGGCCGCCTGCTGGCGCTGCAGCAGGGTGTCCAGTTTTGCCTCCAAAGTGCGCTGCCCGGCGGCTATGTCAGTGCGGCCAGCTGCAGAGGTGGACGCATGACAGGAAGGCCAGGGCGGCGTTCGGGCAGAAAGAAGTGATGGCAACACCAGATAGATGGAGATATCATGGGAATCACCCGCAGCGCCCATTCGACCACGTAAGTGCGCCGATGCAGCTGCATGCAACAAGCTTTTTGCCACAGCTCATGCCCCTGTCAGCCCGTGTCCACCCACCAGAGATGAGGTCCTGAACGCGTGTGTTGACTGCGCGTGCCTCGGCGAGCAGGTTGGCTTGGTCCACCTTGGCCCGGAGCGTGTCCACCTGCGTCGTGATGCTGTCCTGGGCTGACCGCAGGCCGTCAACCTTAGCTGCAACAGCCGCCAGCTGGGCAATGACCTGGGTGCAGGGTCCACAAACAAAGGGCAAGCAGAATTATTGAAGTCGACGGAAGTTGCCACAAGCAGTCTGTAGGCACAAGTACTGGTTGCATGAGGATCGGGTCTAAGCTGCTGCAAGAACACGGGTCGCCTCACATGGTTTCCGACCCACCCACCTCGTCATTGCTGGCGGCTGTCAGGCGCCTGCGACTTGAAGTCGCCGCGTTGATTGGTGCAAAGACAGCAGCTGTAGCCCCGCTGCTTGCGGCCGCGGCCGCAATGGTGGTGAACTCGCCGTCGGCCGCGGCGTCCCCCTGGAGCGCGCGGCAAGCAGGGCAGGTGCATACCTGCGCGGTGTGGGGTCAGTGGGCGGAGGGTGTGGGACAAAGATGCAGGGGTCAGCAAAGCATGGGTCACCTTGTGCGAGTGGCTTGTTGTTGACGTTAAGGAGAGTGCTAATGGATCAAGCCAGCACAATCAGCAGCCCCATTGTTGGGGCCAGTTCAGCAGGTGTTGTCTCGGCTGTTGCACGCACCTGATTTGCAGCGCAGCCGTCGAGGCCGCAATCACAGAGGGCGGCGCAGTCCAGCACCATGTCACAGGGCAGCTCGCAGGCCTCGCGGTAAGCGCTGCTGCTCAGGTTTCCGGCGACGCTGCTGTTGTCCGCCAGCAGGGTGCAGTTGTACGGCACGCCATCGGCCGTGGAGGCCCCGCAGGAGACCGTGTTGGCCTGGCAGGTGCCAACATACTCGGGGGAGCGGCGCGCCAGGTCGCACGACACAAACTCGTACTGACCCCCTGGCCAGCTTGCCAAGTTATATGGCACTGCCAGGGTGCCCAGTGCGGCTGCGTCGGGGGCAGGCATCCAAGTAGTGTTGGCACCGGCGGCTGAGAATGCTGCCATGATTGAGCCGACGGCGGAAGAATAAGTGCTGTTGAACTCAATTCGGAATGCCATCACCTTGTGGGCAGGAGGGATGAGGGTTGGCAGCAACGCATGGGGGTCAACTGCTTGTTGGTGCGCGCCCACATCCAAAACCATCTTCAGCTTTGGTGAGTGGTAAACGCAGTTGCGTCAATGACGTGGCAGGAGCGGTCGTTCGCTGTTTCTTTAGGCCTATCCTGTAGCTGGAGCTCTGCCTCGCTGAGAGGCAGATTAGCGCGGACCAGAACCTTGTGGTGACCACCCCACACATCACCCCACACACATCACCCCACACACAAAACCCAACACACACACACACACATCACCACCACCACCGCCACACGCACATGCACACACACGCGCACGCGCACGCACACGCACACGCACACGCACACGCACACGCACACGCACACGCACACGCACACGCACACGCACACGCACACGCACAC